GCAAAAACAGACGTCCCGTCGCGCCGCGCCGCCGCGCGCTGCTCTGCTCCCCTCCGCCCTCCTGCTTGAGAGCTTCCCCTGCTCGCAAACACGCCATAACACCCACTCGCCACGCCACCCCACTGCCCCCGCACTCGCGTCCTGTGGAGCAGCGGGCGGACCGGCCCCTCCGCCGCACCCGCGCTCGCACCCGACGCGGGAGACGGACGAAAATGAATTTTGCCAATGTCCCAAACTTTCCCGAGGCGGCTGGACGCTGCTGCGGAGGCGGGGGCCTCTCTGAGGGCGACCCGACCGACCCGTCCCAACCCGCCAACCCTGTGTACCTCATCAAGGGCGCTGGCCGCCGCTCGCCGCACTGGGCTGGGCGACGCAGAGGGCGCTGTGCAGATGCGTCCTCAGCACCTCTGCCACTTGCCAAATAATGCTCACGTATTTTTTTTTTCCCATGCGCAATTGTGCATTACTCTCAGTCTAAATAATTGTAAAGTATTTGACGAATTTAAGAAAAACAAGAATCGATCTTGAAAGCTGACGATACAATTAGGTCTGTGGCCTGTGTTCTAATGTTTTCTCATATTTAACTTTATTTTGCTTATGGCTGCTTGTAAGTTGCTATCTTTCGGTGGAACAGTGGCGTAGAGGAGGAGATATCGGAGATATCGGGGCGGCAGGCAGAGCGGCCGGCGTCGGTGGCCCAGTATTGTTGGCCAGGGGGCCTGCTTCGGAGAAGAGCGTTTTCCCTGTTTCCGACCAACCGCGCAGACCGGCTGGCCGGTCGCTGCTAACCGCCTGCGGGTGAGAGGTGAGGAGGAAATGTGGTCTGTCTATTTCCTCCTTCTCACCTCTTGCCTGCAGGCGATCAGGCGGTGCCCGCGCGCCGGTCGGTCAGATTCGCTAAAATATCATCTCTGGCGTGCTCCTGCTGGCTGGGGCCTGTCCAACGCAGTATTGTTTTCCAATGTAAGGGAAGGGGTCTAGCACGACACTCGAACAGTCGGACACGGTTCACGGTTCGCCTAGGGCCGAACAAATATTGTTTTCTGGTCTCCGATTGGTTCTCTTGCCGTATCGAGAATAAAAGCTAGCTGACACCTTAATGTAAACTTATATATTCTTTGCGTTTAATCTAAGGGCTTTTGAGGTATCAGCTGCTCAAAATTATTTTCGAGAGTAATTAGCATGCCGCAATGACTGAAGTTCAGAAGATTTCAGCGTTGAGCGTGATGGCGCAGTGCAGTCTATTGTCACCCCGCCCGGGATGCGGGGGTGGGGTGGGGCAGCACTGTGGGCGGTCCCTCGCCCTCTCGTATGTCAAAGCAGGATCCTCTACTACTACTCCTACCCCTGAACGCCACCACACTGCGGCCGTATTAAAGCCCCTTCTCTACCCCTCGCCACCCTGATATCTCCCCCCCCCACACACGACACACATTCCACCCTCGCGGGTAATGACTGTTTCGCGTCCGCCGGTGCTATGCTGCGCGCGGTGCTGCCCCCCGTCCCAGTACTCCCAGTCCCCGAGGCCGCCCCCGCGCACTTCCGGTCATTTCACAACTTTGCATCACGGAAACTGTCCCGCCGGGCCGGGGGTGTAGCAGGAGGAGGGAGGGAGGCGCGTTAGTATTTCACCTGCCCCGCTCGGGCCGGACCGGATGTGCGGGGGCAAGCGCTCAACAAACTGTGCACAGCGGCGGGCGCTACGACTGCAAACCTTTGCCGCAAAATGCTATGTGTGTGCTCGAAAGAGACCATCGCGTTTACGGGATCCGTTCGTGAATCGCGTCATTTTCAAAGGTTGTTCGCGGCCTTCCGTGCAAGTGTGCCCCTCATTGCCAAGAGTTCTCCCGCATATCGCTGTCGAAGCAGCTCAGCTGAGCCGCTGGGCGTGGCGTGGCGTGGCGGGTGTGGCCTGGCTGGGCGTGGTTGGGGCCTCCGGCTCAGTGCCATGCCGTTGAAGGCCTCAGACAACTTGTTGACACGACGACGAACGACCTAGAGGGAAGGGGGTGGGGAGAGT